TTAAGTCTTAACAACATTAGTATAATAACATAATGCCTTTTGACTGAAGCTGAAACGGTTATATCACAGATATACAGGGTGAGAATGAAATCATCAGCAATTTTTTTTAATGGATGGAAATAAAACGTTAAACCCGCTTGCGATATCTGTATACGCTGAAGAGGCATCAGTGAGAGATGAAAGATGAGGATTAAACCCGGTTAGATAGCACATCATGACGAATTTAACAAGAATTAAGCATGATGGTATAAAGAGTATCTATCTATCTATCCAACTATAGTTTTTCCATTGCTTAATTTATATATCTAAAACCAAGACTTTTTAAAAGATATGTAGAAAGAACCTTTTGCTCAGCGCCGTAGTTATTTCACTAGTCTAGAAATATAATTAATCAAAATATCAATCCAATTGTGACAAAATTGAAGTGAATGATTGTAGACTGAAATAGGGCCAAAAAGTTTAAACAGATCGGAAACAATAACGGTAGAATGCGACAGGAATCGAACCCCAGGCGGGTGACGTCACGGTTGGGGTGGCGCCACACGGCTGCAGCTCCATCCACTTACATCTGCCAATATTTGCCCAGCACCCCACCCCGCACGCACCCGTTCATATTTCAAACCTGGGGAGACACTAAAGACTACAAAGTTACGTGGTTATAACGCTAATACACCGTTCTGTAATACGACATATATTCGATTTGCTTTAAAGAGATGCTGGAAAATACATTATCTATTTTTTGCCACACGAATCGATAGAGATTTTTTTTAATATTTTCGAAAAAAGTCCATTTTGTATAAAATTATTCAATTTTTTTATAGAAATAAAACCTGTTAATTAATATTAATACCTTACTGTATACTTAAAGAAAATTGTTTAATATTTATGTTCGACATTTTTTTTCAATCACAGAATTTAATAATTGGAATAGATATTTATCAAAATAAATACATTATCATTAAATATTTTATATTAAACTCCACAATTAGGATCTTGAGATCAAAACTCAATATAACTGCAAAAGTTTGAATTTTGAGTAAATTATGTTTAAAGTTATTGTTTGAAGTAAAAGGCGAGGAATGGGCAGCAGCGTCCCTCTTAAAACATCTCCAAAGCTTAACTGCGGCTCCCAATCCGCCTACCAAGCATGGCAACTACTGGCAAACCCCCTGAGACTTATATTCAGCAGTGGATAGTTAAAGGATGATATGATGATAATGATGTTTAAAGTTACAGCACGGTGTAAGTAGCGGTCTCGTCAAACGAGTGAATGTGCGAATGCCCTCACGTTTAGTTAAATCGATGCGTTGCGTTTTATTCCGTGATTTTATAATCCCTCTCTACGAAAACTTGTATGCGGGGAGACAGAAACATATCCTTCCTCATGTATACAGTAATCTATGTAATTGAATACGATGTACATATGCACCTAAGTATCTAAAAGTTATAGAGGTTTAATAATAATAATAATTTTTATAATAATAGCATTTTTGAATAGTAATTTGTTTACGAAACCACCGCCCAGTTCGGAATGCCATTTCAGCTTAGAATGGGCAAGAAACAGCTGTTGCTTAGTGATAATGGGTATCAAGTCAATATCCAGTGATAGTAATCATAAAGGAAACAACCTTCCCAAAAAAAAAAAACGCAGTATCTATCTCAAAATAAAAATAATTCTATATTCAAATCAAAACTCTTTTTTTACTCGCTACTGCCCATCTCTCTCATTTCTCTTACGACACCCACGGAAAAGAAAGGGGTGACCCATTCTATGCCGGGACCACACGGCTACAGCACGGTAGGTTTTTTTTTAATGGATGATAATGGAATTGTATACACCGGCGGGGCACCAGTGAAGAATGATAGGTGAGGAGATGAAGTAGGTCAGTTAGCCCATCGTGACGAATTCAACAAGAATTGTTCATGATGGTTTCCAAGAGGAACCACGTGGAGGTCGACCTAATAAGGCATATTGCTAGCAATGGGGCTATGAAACTCCATTACTAACAATCCCTTTTCCCCAGCACGGTAGGTTATACTAGGTTAGCGTTTATATCGAAACATTGCATTGAGAACTTAGTTGCAACCCTGGCGGATGGTTTTGGAAACTCAAATTTCCATACAAAACACCGATATACTTACACTTGAATCTAGTTATAATTTATTTCTGTATAAATTATTAGATTGTATATTATGTATGTATGTATCAGTATAAGCAAGCTGAAGTGGCAATGGCAGATGGGGAAAAGTTCTTGAGTGGCGACCTCGTACGGGCAAACGCAGTGTAGGACAACCTCCTACTAGATGAAGTGACGACCTCAAATGCATTGCAGGAAATCAATGGATGGTGGTGGCGCAGGACCGTTCCTTATGGCAGTCTATGGGAGAAGCCTATGTCCAGCAGTGGACGGATATGATGATAATATTATGTATGGATTTGTATTATGGATAATTGGGATAAGGATTCATTTCTCTTTCTAAATATACAACAATAACTTATTATTCTATATTCGACAGATATGTCAGAAATCTGAAGTTCATCGTAACGTGTAGTTGTGAAGTATCCACAATTCCATGTCATGCACTTATAGACGTTTTGCATCGTCGCACGCCATTCAACAGAAGTATGTGAAGTAGGGTTGTCACTTGCAATTGGTCTTTGTTACTTTAATTTTTTTCCACTATTCCAACGGGTTCCTTATGGATGACATAAGCCAGTACATTCATTCTCGATTAAAAGGTGAACATAGAAAAAAAAACTAAAATGAAAACTGTTAATAGGAAATTTCTAAAAATTATCGTCCTTGCTAATATTAAAAATCTGAAAGTGAGTTTGTTTGTTACTTTCAACTTAAAGGCTTAATATATTATTATGAAATTCGGTAAACACGTACTATATGTGAAGGAGAAGGATATAGGCCACTTTTTATCCCGGTCACGCAGACAAAGTCGCGGACAAACGCTAGTATTATTATGTTAATTAATTACAGTCATCAAAATAGTTCCTCTAAGTCTGCAATTTGACTAAAAGATTACAATGAAAGTTAACAAAGCTAGTCCAAGAGACGAGGTCAAAAGTCGCTTTGGAGAATAATAACAAAATCATGTTTAGTGAAATGTATGCAAATAGGATGCTATGTTTACCACAATATCGATAGACGAGTAATACCTCTAACTACATCATTTGGTATTATAACAATACACAATAGCACAAGAATGATCGTGTATTAACTGAAGAAGTCTATAAAACTAAAGTACAGTATGACACGAGTTTAAAATCCTATTAATATAATAAAATGGTAACTAAACGACGACTTTACTATGTACATGAGAGATATTTACAAAAAAAAAAAGAATATAAGGAGTCTTAATAGGACCAATAGATGACAAAAAAATATTTTTAGAAATTTTATATCTGACTGTATGTTTGTTCTGGTATCATTAAAAACTACTGTACCAAATTGGAGGCGAGTTTTACAATTGTGCTCCTGAAGGCCTATCTTAAGATCTGTTATACGTATTATCTTGATTGATTGTTCTATTTTTGAAATTCATGCATTTAAAAACTAGTTCAAAATAAACGTTGATGAAGAAATAATATACATATGTATAAGATATGACATGTCAGAAGTTTTTCGCACTCGATCTTTCTGTCTATTTTATTGTCTCGAAGACAGATAGCATAATGTATTTACATTGGTTTTACTAAAACCTAAAAGTTGTACCACGAATAGATAAAACTAAAAGAGACAACCCTTATACATAAGGTTGGAGGCGTGAAGTGCACTCGTGGACGTGGACCACCCAGGTCGACAAATATACCTTAATAGCGCCGAATTGAGGTGAAACGCAAAAAACAAGCGAAAAAACGACTAAGCGACGAACGGGTCGTAGGAAAAATATTGTGATTTCTGAATGGCATTAGGGCTGAACTTGGAATGTTAAAGAGGATGAAAAACACTAAGAAGTAAAGGACGAATGTACCTATTACAGAGGACATAGTACAAAGGTAGGTACGCCTATTATGTAAACACGAAATGGACGCCATTTTTATTTTCAGATCGCCAAAAGACAATTTAAATAAATGATTTTGTCTTCTTAAGCAACTACAGGTTCTCATTGCTAATGTATTTTCTGAATGAATGGTATGCAATATCTTCGTTAATTCTTAACCAATTACGACAATTCTTTTTAGACTTGAAACGAAATTAACTCGAATATACAATAAAGATTTAAAAACAGATTTAATGTCCCTAGATAAAAAAAAAGTTCGGAATTATGACTAAAAAATTAATATTTCTACAAAATATCTTAATCCTAGAACGAGTCCAACCTCAGTGATTTAACAAAGCTGTAAAGCTTTGATAATGGCCGAGTCTATAAGATGCATTTTAATTTACAAAAAAAAAAAAAACATTGTTATGTTAATACTAATGAAGGTATACAGAGGAACAAATGTAAGTAATTATAATACAATCATAAATATTTTAATTTTAACAGTATACAATCATTGATTAACTCATAGGTGCTCATTGTAAATGGAAACCTCAAGTTGTAGAATTATATCTCCTAAGTAAATTAATCTATTCCAATGCATTTTTATTTCAAAATATGAATGATTGTATACTATTAAAATATTTTAGCATATTATTTAAATGCTAAACTGACGGATTCAACTATACAATTAAATAGTTATTCTATAATAAAATAATATATAATTATTTGTTAAAATCAAACAAGTCATAAACAATTAAAGCGCCATCTATCGATTCTTCATTGAACTAAAATACAGGAAAATTTGACTGGTCACGACATCTTTTGACATATATCAAAATTGGTTAGTAATATTTTTACTATTATTCCGCTATAACAGATGTCACTACTGACGGATTTAAATGAAAAAAGCGTTATTTTCAGCAATAGTAATGTTACCATAGATTAGGGATAATAAGATATGTTAATTTATATTTATTCATAATATACAAAATACTGATACGTACCTTGACCTCTTCAAGAGATTTATCATGAAACTTTGCTTCAGCCGACGGCATACCATTCTGTGAACAAAAGCTACCATGAAACTATCAATATTTTAATATAATACTCGTTTCGTAGACATATTATCTCACATATAAAGAGTTAAATTTAGAACGCAGAATTGTACATCTGCTTGTCGATTTTGCTTTTATTTTCTGTGCTTTAAATTAGATAAGACTTAACAAGGCAACAGTCTAAAATAAGCACAAAAAAAAAAACAAATTAAAAAACCACCTTCTTCCAAAACTTCTTTTAAAGTCGTCTTCCTTTTGTAATTTGATACTAATTTGACTTATTGGCAAGTGAAATATTATGATTTCATTAGTAAGTAGGCTAAAGATTTTAGTAGTATTTTTTGTACATAATTAATGTAATTACAAATTAAATTGACGTGAATATTATTGTTCTACATTCATATTACTTCTAACATTATTATTATTATTTAAAAACGATATTTTTTTTCAAAATTAATATAAAATATGTCAATTTTGTAATGGGAATGACATAACTAAAAACTGATCTTGTAATTTTGTGAATTATGAATAAATGATCTATATCTGTATCGGTTGTTAATACCGTTACATTTAAAGCATATATTACTCAAATATTTTGTATAAATATGACAACTCTGCAATCGTACAAAGTGCATCGTGTGCTATCTATATCCTGTGGCTTTGCCCGCGCAAATCAGTCATGTAAATCATAAATAAGTTAGGATATAACCTATCCATGCACTAAATTTCATTCAAATCCATTCAGCTGTTTAAGCGTGATTAATAATTAAGTAATAGGGTTTAGGAGCCCAATTGTTATCAAGCACCCAGTTGCCCCTGGAAACCGTCATGGTAGTTTCTTAAATACGTCACGATGGGTCAATTCACCTCCTTTCATCTTCATCTACCATCTTTCACTGATTCCCCACTGCAGCGTATATCTATCAGTAGGCTATCGCACACAGGGCTACCATTCCATTCGGGGGGAAAAGAGATTGTTAGTAATAACAACTAGCGGTCCCATTATTAGGAATATACCCTATCAGGTCGACCTCCACGCGGTTCCCATCACGGTGGACCAACTGACCTGCTTTCATCACTCACTGGTGCCCAGCCAGCGTATACCAATAGTGCAGGCGGGGTTATCATTCTATTATCATATTTAAAAAAAATTCCATCCATAAAAAAATTACATAATTACCTATGCATTGTAACAGTAACAAATTCCCATCCACTTTGTACCGAAGCAATATCTATAACGAGTTATATGTAATGACTTCGATGTCAGATCGCACGCTTATCGATAATCCAATGACGGCTAATGTTATCACATGCGTCATACATTAATGTGATGCAATTTATCTCATCCAAACTTGAATTCCAATAAAAAAATATTTAAAGCAACTTTTTTTTTACTTTCAAAAAGGGATCGTCATTTTGCATGATTTTTGTGTTGCTATAAATACAACTATTGATTCGAGCTGCACATTTTATTTAAATACTAGCCACCCGTCCCGGCGTCGCACGGGTGGACATTTTTAACATTTCCCTTGACTGCTCGCTCCTATTGATCGTAGCGTGATGAAAAGCACTACTGATAAAATAATACTATAACCTGCCCAGGAGTATGAAGAATATTGTACCAAGTTTCGTTAAAATCCGTCGAGTAGTTTTTGTTTCTATAACAAACATACAGACAGACAAAAATTTTACTGATTGCATTTTTGGCATCAGTATCGATCACTAATCACCCGCTGATAGTTATTTTGGAAATATATTTCATGTACAGAATTGACCTCTCTACAGATTTATTATAAGTATAGATTTGTACACAAAACTATTAAAACGGGCTTTATTACGTAATCGTTTTGTACAATTAATATTACAAATGTAAAAGTTTGTATGGATGGGAAGATGGATGTTTGTTACTCTTTCACGCAAAAACTATTGAACGGATTTGAAAGAAATTTGGTATAAGGATAGGTTATATTTTTTTATACAACTTAGAATAGTAAACAAGCTGACGGCCCACTTAATGGAAAATGGTAACCGTCGCCTATAGACGTGAGCAGTATTATGGACATAACAGAGTATATTGTTTCCCCCATGATACCCCCTTTGCGTTGTCATTCTTGAGGACTAATGTGTTAATCCCTCTGTACCCGGTAAATTCATTGCCATATCCCACCCTTAAAACTGAAACACAGCCATGTAAACACAGCTGCTTCACGGTTGAAACACGAATGAGACAAAGGTATCAAGCAAACGACTCTTGTTCAAATTTTGAAATTCTATTTAGCACACAGGATATTTTTTGTACTGATTTATACGAGCATATCCACAGGATACAGTTAGTATAAGTATGTCAAAATAATTACAGTGTTATTCTTTCACGTATCCTGTTCGAGTAAAACTGCAGTATCACCTACATTGTCGGATGGACTTTCTAAATTTCTCACGACATTATCGGTGGAAAGGTGAGTGAACTATTGAGCGCGTAACGCGAGACGACTCATTATGACTTGTTGGAATGGAGCCAAATTATTTCTAAATGCCATATGTCCAGTCGAACATAGACACATATTATTATAACAACAGACGCGTTACATACGCGGCCTATATTTTAAATGGACACAAGTGTAATGCTAATCGTTGCAGTTATAACCGCTGACTGTATTATAAGAAAATACCGTTTTAGGGTTCCGTACCAAAATAATGTAAAGGAGTCCTTATGGTGCGACCTTATCTGTCCGTCTGTTATAGCCTTATATTTCAGCAAATATAAATGCTATCTATTTGAAATTTCGAATACTTTTATATATCATTAGCCCTTAGATACGGCAAAAGAAATCATTAAAAGAAATATTTTTATTTTCTTCATTGGGGGTTCCTAAGTCTTGAAAATTCAAAAGAATTCTATTAGTCCAAATAAAGTATTATAAAGTATTATTATAAAGTGTTTCTAAAACCATTTTTTTTGCCACGTAGTTTTTAACTAATAATAGAAAATCTGAAAAAAGAACCATTACATCCTCATCTCTGAAGTTACAAAAAATCTTAAACAATTATCTTGTTATTGAAAATTAAGCTAACACACCTAAATATCACTGGACATATACATACTGCCATCTAGTTTTAAAATAAACAAAATTTTGTAGATTTTCGTGGTTGTACTTACACAGAGTACATAATTTCTTAGGTATATAGATCTTATTAGGTAAATAATGAGTATCTTATTTTTTGTTTCTTCTAAAAGATTACATTAATAAACTTATTTTAAATACAAACAATTACAAGAAAATATTACACTGAGTATATTATACAATATGTTCACTAATTTTGGATATTTTTTTTTAATTGGTATTTTGATAATAGGTATAGAAATTGTTACAAAGTACAGTAAAATTTATAATTACACTAAAAGTACTAAAAATATTTGGGCTATCTTAAATATTCAGTCTAATCAGACATTGATTAATTGGCAATAGTAATAAAATTTTGTTTATAAAATTACGTAAAAACTACGAGGTTATATATTTGGCTATGAGAATGATGGATTACGAAAAAACTACGTGAACAATCTTTGAAGTGAATATTCCTTATTTCTGTCGAGTAGATCGGTTTGAAGGGTGAGATATGTTTTGAGTTACAATACCCAACCTACTGCAACTTAAAATCTTCACAAGACAAAAATGGGTGATGGGTGATACATGAGTAACTCGTAAATATTTTCACGTAATGGGCCAACCAGTTTATGAAAAACCCTTTACTGAATTGACTGGGGTCTGAATGTCCTGGAATGTGCATTCCAGATTTACGAACACGGTAAAATGGTAATTAGTGTAATGTCACTTCGTCATCATCATTTCAGAGGTTAATTGTCTGCAGCTCAACATAGTCCTTCCTAAGGATCCATAAACTGCCGTAAGACTATCCTGAGCTACTGCATTTACTGAATCTCTGCAATCAATTTGAAGTCATTTAAGCTCATGCTCTCATCATCTTCATTACACTGCGTTTACCAATATGGGGTTAACAGACAAGAACCGTGTTGTTGTATAAGCCATTAACTGTCCTTTGCTGAGTATAGCCTATCCCATAAGGGGGGTTTTTCCAATAGATGCCACGCTTGGCAGGCGTTATGTTTTAAAAGGGACGCCGCTGCCCATTCCTCCATCATAAGCTCCCTTAGTCGCTTCTTACGACACTCATAGAAAAGGAAGGGTTGGCCTATATTATGCCGGAAACTACACACCTCCCTTTGCCGCCTTTATAAAAAAAAAGTTATTAATAATAATACCTCTGTTCTCTCGAGCACCATAGCTCGTACCCGGGAGTACAGAGCTTCCTCTCGGATGCGCGCAGCGTCACGAATCTCCCGCACCAGGTCCGTGAGGAAACCAGGCGAGTACTGTGAGCTTAGAAGACCTGAAACATTATACAGTGATCTTTTATTTCTTTTGCAATTCAATATAAATGTTTTACAACTTTAGATATTATAAAAAAAAATTACGTAAACACTGTAATTTTTATTTTAAAAACCTTGTCATAAAAATAATAATATGCAATTTTTTGTTTTAATATAAATTTATTTGAATAAATATTATATCTATTCTATTAAAATAAGCTGTTTATCATTGTGATTTCAAATATTATTCAAGAAGTTTGTAATAATAATTACATAATTTAAAATTCCGTGGATCTATAAAACACACTCTTTTGAAAAAAGTCACCTAATATAATAATATGGTGTTGCATGATATACACAAAAAATGCAAACAAATCTAAAAATTCTTTATCTATATGAAAAAAGAGAAAAGAAGCGATGTCCCTGCAGGGCGACAGACGAACGAGATGCACTTTTTACGAGAACTCACTAGGAATTGTGTAAATATGTGATGTTAATATTAATTTATATTTCAATATATATTCGATTAAAACGTTTTTTCTTCTAGAATACAAATATTTTAATCTTAATTTCAATACTAATATAGTAGTGTCGATTATTCGAACTAATTTGAGGACATGAGTGTACGGAAAACCAGTTTATTCAGATACGCGAACAAGGTAATTTTATTTACCAATAATAACTATATACTACTATGTTTAATAATTATATTCTACAAAGAACGGTAAGTAATCTGATGGCACACCTGAGACTTGCGTGTACTAAAACACCGACTATGTACCCGCGGCCTTAAGGTCAACAGTTCATTAGTGATTACAACTACACAGGTTCCATAGCAACTTGCCATTTAAATTACGTTCTTTTACTATTTTTTTTTTGTAGGCATTTAGTAGGTACAATTTTTTAGAAATAAAATATTTTTTTTAAATATTTTTAAAATAAAACAGCTGTTTTGTTGTTTTATTTTCAACAATTTTGACAAGATACACATTTTAAGTTTTTCTTTTTTAAGAAATAGAGTTGATAATACTAATAATACTCGTATATACTATACATATTAATTTGGTTAAATTTCGAATCTTATCTTTTTTTGTTTATCTTAAATAACAACTAATCATTATAAATAATTAATACATAATATTAAAAAAAAAAAACTAAAATGGACTTTCTGATTGATTATAAACAGTTTAACCGGAGACACGAAACTCTTAGAACAATTATTTATTTCTATTGAGCCAGTCCATATATATATACACATACATTTGTCTTTTAAATGGAAAATTAATATTTTTTTCTAACTCTTTATATATGTACCTCCACTTCAAATTACAAACAAGCTAATAGAAAGTGGTAACTTCCCTTTAAATAGTACCATGGATATCACAGAATACAGTGGCGCTATGCCCCGCATGCTTTGTAATTTCAGAGACTGTCAATATAGACTAGTCTAATAATAGACTAAAGTGGACTTTCTGATTGACTGAGACTTTAATATATTATAACTTTTTAAACAATTTAAAAAAAGATAGTTCTGATTTCGGACATATTTTTGGGGCATATTCTATGACATAGGACATATACGATACTTTATGAAAATTGTAAAAGACTAATTTTATTTATTTATTAATACTTTATTGTACAAAATTTACGTTTGTGAGTAAAGACATACAACAGGCCAGCTTAACTTGCCTTATCATGTTTCACTTTCATTATCGTTTATTAATAATTTTATTAAAAGTGAAGTCGATTTTTAAGCGACTTTCAAATCAGAAGGTTCTTTATTTGCCTTTGTTTTTCACCCGACTTCACAATAAAGAATGTTCTCAATTCGGTTGTAATGTGTGTTACCATCAATTGTAAGCCGGCTTGGAAAACTTATTTATCTGATAATATGATTTTACTAGATAAAAAAGTAAAATATTCCAGATAAAAATATACTTATATATTGGTCCTTTCGGTTGTTTAGTTTTTAAATTAAAATAACTGGTTTCACCATAATTGAAGTCGGTTTTTTAGTGAAACCGTTGTTATTAGTTCAAATTATTACATTTTATATTGCATCATTGTTTGAATTGTTTCTAACAACGTGAGAATATCAAGCCAAATATGGAGCACGTAGAAACGGAAATGCGTTATATAAATTATTTTTGTTAATTAATTATAATTAAAGTATTTTAAAATGTGGATAGATAGACAAATTATTTATATGTATCTCTAGCAACTAAACACTAATAGCAACTAAAAAATAAGACAAAATTACACAATACAGGAGAAAAGATGAGCAGTCATTAAAAATTGTGTCCCATAAAAAAAGCCCACTTCAAATTTTTTTTATACAACTTAGAATGGCAAACAAGCTAACGACCCACCTAATGGAAAGTGGTAACCGTCGCCTATAGACATGAGCGTTCGATGAGAGTACCATGGACATAACAGAGTATACTGTTTCGCCCATGATACCCCTCCATGTGTTGCCATTCCTGAGGACTCAGGTGTTATTCCTCTGTACCCTGTAAATTTACGCCATATCCCATCCTTCAAACTGAAACACAGCCATGCAAACACAACTGCTTCACGGTAGAAACACGAATGGGACAGAGGTACCCAAGCAATCGACTTTTGTACAAAGTCTCCCTCTGGTAAAATGTGACATTACTAGTTATTTTGATATAAAAACTAAACTATTGAATAGATTTTGATAAAATTTCTTAAGACTAATCTGTAAGTATATACTTTGAGATAAAAAAAAATTCCAAATCGATTTACAACTGACAGAGTTATAAACATAAAAAATACTCCCGTATTGAGAACTTCCTACTTTTTGAAGTCGGTTGAAAAGACTAAATTATTATTTAATTAACTCCAGAGTGGTGAAGATATCAAGTAACGTAACTAGTAAAACAGACAGGCCAAACAAGAAGCCTTTCTGAATCCTCTTAAAAATTTGTCTATTTGAAATTCAATCCTATACAAACATACCACGGACGACACAGTATATTCTGTGGCATCTATGCGCTTTTCATAATTTCATATAGTCAACTATTACTTCTATTAAGTGTATGGTTAGTTTACGTAGCTGTGTTTATGTAGCCGGATTCTACCATATGATCGAAACATATTAATAAACCAGGGTAAAATGTAGCAAAATTAAAAAAATCCATAAGTCTGAGCCATTAAGACGTAACAAATAAAACACAAATTCCTTTCACATTTATAATTATTAGTGTTAATTTACTGTTTCGTAGTTGTATTTAAACTCAATGTATTCCGTCGAATCGGGCATTGCGTCTAATATAAACAATACTTAAACCAAATTGCTGCAAATTTAGCAGGAAGGACGTAAAACATTGCGGAAGATTACTAATAAGGTAAGTAGGTAATAGGCATTATTTTAAAATCAATAACCGACAAAGCAGACTTTGATGCGTTGTTTACGATTAAATTTCCCTTTACGAATGAATAAAAAACTATTTTTTCATTTACACAATGACACAAATTATAAAGATTAACAATATGTACACATTAAGAATACGAGAGAGCTCTCATTGTAAGTGTGGACTAGACGAAGGAAATATAAAACACATGCTACTTGAATGCCCTATATCAGTCCCTCTGTATGACATTATCCCCAATAATATTTGTCGTCCTGTTAACATCTAGTAGGTATCTATTAACTTTAATATTTTTTCCTTTTGCATATATCCAAAAAAAATTAGATATAGTATCTTCTTTTAACATTAAATTATCATAAACCATTGTTCCTGTAAAATTCCTGGTATAGATACTCAATGAATATAGACAAGGAAATGTTATCGCATCATCGATAAGATTGCAGTGTCTCTTCTAACTTTGACATTGTCAAAATCATCGGAGCCCCAATGGAACCATAATTAAAAGAAATATGTACACAAATGAATACTTAATTACATAACAGCAAGATAAAGAGGCAACATTATCATGTATAATTATATAGTTTGTTTCAACAGAAATTAATGAAAAAGTAACCAAAATTGGTTAAAATTATCACTCTAAATAAATAATTGTATTATAATTATAAACAGACTTTTTATTTGTACTAATTGGGTCATAGCAGACTATTTTATAGTCGGGTACATTAATTGTTTACATTTTGATAGGGACATATTGAGACTTTGTTATTTACAAACAATACCTACCTACTGTATAGAGTTGTCTCTGGCGCTGAATCATAAATCATTGTCATACTTATTTTAAAAACTGTAATGTTTTGCTCCAAATAGGACGGTATATTTTTGTGTATATAATGCAATAAGTTAGTGATATTATAAATCGACCATTTTTTTCTTTTTGGGACTAAACATCAATTCTTTACTTCATAAAAGTACTGATATAACTATACTTTTACACTATCTGTTGTTTTATTTAATACACAATATTAAATAAAAAAAAACTAAAGCTAATCTGAAAATTTTTACAGACATTCTTTAGGTAAAGTGACAAACGGCAACCCTCGGCTAGAGAGAATGACGACTTCAAGTGTGCAGTAGAGAATCAATGCGGGAAGACTCAGAATGAAATAAAGACCATATTTGATTCTAGGTGAGAGGACACATTCAGCAGTAAATAGTCGAAATGATAGTGTCGACGACAATTCTTTAGACAATGTAGTTATCAGCTTTTAGAATTACAATAATCCAGGTAAAAACACAGTAGACTCGTTCCGCGTTATAGGAAAACGCGTTGTAGGAGTATTCTCATATAACGCGCTTGTACGACCCCGTATAACGCGTTATGTACAAATGATTCAAGTTTAACTTTTTTCGTTAAACGGGGTTTAAATAGAATATTAAGAAAAAACTGATATAAATAAAATATGTGTATTTTATTAAAATCAAATTAAGAAAATTTTAAATAAAAAACTTATGCACATGTAACTAAAAATAGTTAATTTCAAATAAATTAAAAGTTTTATTACATGTTAATTCACTGTCGTAGCTATCTGGAATAACGTCCACCGACATCTTTTTTTTTAGAATATTCAATCACCGCGTTGTATGGGGAAATACCCGTGTCATACGAGGAATTGAAATCGCGTAATATGAAAACGCGCTATAATAGTACTATGTTATAGGAGGGGTAACAGTATTTACAAGAATACCCCGAGGTATTATAGTAAATTCCGTGCGAAAGAAACAGGGGGTATACAATTACATAAAACAGAAAAATATCTATCTAGTCGCTTATAGGTATTTCAGCTCGTTAATTTGCCACAAGTCAAATTGCTATAACTTTATGCAAGGTTATCACACAGGGCACGTAACGCACGCGATTTCTTTGCAGAAATGAAGAATCATTCAATTACGACCTACATAAGTACCGTTTCCATAGAGTTACTACTTGTAAAGTTCTATAGAATCCAATTTCATGGATATTTTATTTATAATTATGTATATATGTCATGGAACTTTAATCTCTCTTTGTAGTTTTTGTATACGTAAACCAGACGGATTTTACTACCGTAACTAATGTATAGTCTCCGAGTATTGTTGAATACAAAACGAGATATGAGACTTGACATTAACAAAATAATATGTAAACTTAAAATGTAAATTCAAATAGTGCAACACTGATAAGTAACTTTAGCAGCTGAACTTTTATTTTCTCTACTTCACACCAACAAAAATCAAATTTAATAAATTCCATTAATAAAAATCTGTTGTTGATGCTAATTGCTTTAGCTTATTATATACCCTTAAACGTACATGCGAATACACAATATTATATTCATAAATAACCGGACATAGCCTATATTAATAAAAAAATACCACGATAAAAAGAGGCAATGAAAATAACTTTACACGAATATGTTAGAATATAAAACCAACAGTACCTAAGTATAAGCGCAGCATGAATTCCTGAGTTATCTTTCCAATGACTAAAAGGGAGCGGTGGTAATTTTAAAAATACGTAAGTCACAAAAATGAATGCAAGCAAAACGTTACCTTTAGCTTGTAGAATAGAGTTTAAAATTATATAATTTTCAATGTTATATTTACCATTATCTGTAAGCGGTGTGTGGCTCGGGGTAGCACCGATATTGGAAGAGGAACCCTTCTGCATCATAACATTGTGTTGTCGAATGTTCTCTAATTCAGCTGGAAGACAAATTTATACGTTAATCAAAAAAATATTCCGTGAGCTTAATATTTTTATATTATAATAATTATATAAAAACTAACATCAAAATATAAGAATGTAACAAAAATAAATCTAAATTAGTGTTAATATTAATTACATTTTGTTGTTAACATGTTCAGATCACTAACAACAAGAAGACTTACAAGGAAACTAATCCTAGTTGGATGTACAATAATAATTCCATATCTACGAGTATATCCATATAATTTGTACTCATGTCTGTTTCTATTATTGTATTATTGCTTATATTACAAAAAGAAAGTATTTAAGTATTTTGTTAGTTTAAGACTAGACAAGTCCCAAAAAGCAAACTATCAATACGCAGTAATATGTCCACTGGGTCGGACGGAAAACTTAGCGATAAGTCCTGTTACTAACAATAACTAGTTATCTATTTAAAGACTCTCCCTCCTATAGAGTAGCCCTATTGCTAGTTCTATCAGGTCGACCTCCAAATGGTCCTAAAAACTAACGTAGTTAATTCTTGGTGCATTATTCATTACAAGCCAATGGAGCTCACTTCATTCTCACCTGTTATGCCTCGCTTTTATTCCGTCAGTGAAAATGCATAGCGCAAGCGGAGTTATCCTTTCATTTTATACATTTGTATGTACTAGCTGTTTATGTGACTTTGTCTGTGTGAATACTTATAGGCATACTTCTAGTTTGAATTTACGCTTTAAGAAAATGGTAGTCAGGTCGCGAATAATTTTTTTATACTATTAGCAGTATCTCGCTCACGTTAATCAGTATATAAACTACCTCATGTTTTAAGTTAGGATATAACCTATCCCTTTATCAAACTCCATTCAAATCCTTTCAGCTGTTTTAAGCGTGATTGAGGTAAAACAATTAAACATTTCAATATTTTCATTAACTTTCATATTTATAGTATTAATAGATAGCAGAATTTGCGTGATCGTCTAGTTGTACGTTTGTGTATGATAGCACACATTTTATTCAAATCGAATAATACTATATAAATACTCTTGTTTCCTTTAAAAGATTACAAAAATAAACTTAATATAAATACAATTAATTATAAAAAAAATGGTTACTGTGAGAAAACCATGGGCGATTTTATCGCTAAAAACGATCTCTTCCAGGCAACTTTTGGATGGAAGGAAGTAAAAGAATTTCTAATACAATAAATCTAGAAATCTAATTCTGATAACGATAATACTCATATTGATATTATAACACAGTTATGTGATGCAGGTGGCGAGTATTAAAGATCTAAAATAGATTCACAAACTATGCCAACTCTGCTGTATTGTCTCCAATGTCATATTCTTCTGATCACAATAACAAGTCCCATAAAGTCTTGCACAGTCGACGGGCATTTTGTCCGCAGATGATTTCTCTCATATTTACTTATTTTTTTTAGACATTTAAATGCAACGAGAAATAATCGTCAACGTAAAATTGAGTCTAGTTCATAATTCATTTATGCTTTTGTTGATAGAGCTCTTTCCACTCACACGATTATCTTTAAATTAAAGTCAAATCATCTTTATTAAAATAGACTTGTTTACAAGCACTTTAAAATCGTATTTTATTTAATCTACTGCAGGTTTCGGAAAGCTAGTATCTGTCGAGAAGAGCTCGTAAAAAAACTAAACAGTTACTTTTTTAATTCTCTGTTAACATTATGTGTATTTATTTAAATTTTTTTTTTTTTATGCAACTTAGAGTGACAAACAAGCTGACGGCCCACCTGATGGAAAGTGGTAACCGTGGTAGTTAAATGTACGATGTCTAAAATTAAAATATTTGCATCTTTGTATGCTTTCTTTTTTTTTATAGTAATCTGTAGTTAACGTTGTTGGTAGTATAATTAATTATATTTAAATGTAAACTTATTATCATGATATATTTTATTACAGTTTGTTAACTTTAATAAAATTAAAAAAAAATATCCAAATTCAACTCGAGCTTTTAATGTTTCTAACTGTATCATAATAATACATTACGGTAAACAGTCACATTTTGTTAGTTATAAGTATTCAATGAATACCCTTGACTCACTTCATTTGTGTGGGTGACCCATGTAGGTGGATGACAATGTGTCTAAAAAGTGACAAGGACATATGGGTAGAGACTACAAAATGCATTTCTTTAAAAAAAATCTGTCCAATGCAACTATGGTCACCTTTTAAAATTCGAAGTTGCTACATAAAGGTAGAATTTAAAAAAATTGGTTTAATGAAATAACAAATTAGTAATGTGCCCTAGTGGCATAATACTACTCCCAATTACAGCCTGCAATGGTTGTGAGTTCAAAACCATGATACTACTAATACTATCATTTAATTTTGAGTTACATTACTTTGTAGAGTGATACACCAGAAGGAGACTTTGTACAAACGTCGATTGCTTGTCGATTGCTTACGTCGATTTACCTCTGTCCCATTCGTGTTTCAACCGTGAAGCTATTGTGTTTGCATGGTTGTGTTTCGGTTTGAAGGGTGGGATATGGCGTGAATTTATTGGGTACAGAGGAATAACACCTGAGTCCTCAGAATGGCAACGCATGGGGGGTATCATGGGCGAAACAGTGTACTCTGATATATCCATGGTACTGCTCATGTCTATAGGCAACGCTTACCACTTTCCATCAGGTGGGCCGTCAGCTGGTTTGCCATTCGAAGTTGCATAAAAAAAATCTATAATATAATATAATATTTTAGAGAGAGATGTTTAACATATCAGGGATAATGATTAGGCATTTGTCAACTGTTACAATATAATTACTTTTATGAAGTTTTTAGTAAATCATATATCTGAAGCGCATACAGACTTAATTCTCTATTTTATTCACAGTAAGCAATAATTATCGACTTTTTGAATCACATGCATTTACAAGAAAAATAATTTAAACACTTATTGCACATCAAAATGAATGTAAAATAATGGGTCTCCTTTAGAAATAATAAAGATTTATATAGAATTTTTTTTTTTTTATAAAATATAAATAATCTCTTTTATTACATATACAATATGATCTGTAATATTTGAATTGGCAAGAAGTGGGTGGGGCGATTTCTTTGAATACTATAAATTTATTCTATGTATTATATCTATGATAAGTGTGACTGACCTATAACTTTAATTGGTTATTTTTAAGTGGGTGGAATCATGCTTAATGCGGTAGGTATCAGTTTTAAATACATTTACTCAAGGTGATGAGGAAGGTTGAAATTTATTATTTATTAATGCTCATAACCAAATTTCCATATATTTTATAAGTATAATAAGTATATATTTGTGCACTAAACTTCATTCTAATTTCTTTATCCACTTAAATTGAATGAGTAATAAAAATTTTATGTTTACAAACTTTCACTCTAATAGTATGAGTAAGATTTTGCTGAAAACAGTATCAAATTTAAAATAAAAGTGTGAAAAATATTCAGTTATATGGAATAATATAAACTAAACAGTATATCACTACTCCATCTGATATCATTATATTTATCTCAAGTAGATGGTATGATACTATAAATTTAGAGATTTAAAAAAGATAAAATAAACCATATGTGTGTCTGTGATGAGTTTAGAATTTATTTATTTCTTTTGTAAATACAAGATATAATGCTGTTACCAATGGACAAATCATAAGTTTTATGGCTTTACCATGCACCACTGTCATTGACATATATAAGTAAAATATATTTTTTTTTGTAATATTTTATGTATTATTAGTGTGTAAAATAAAGTACAAAATAAATAAATAAAACTGCAAGATACAACTGCAACTCAAATATCAATTGAGAATTATGAATAATGTGTATGTATTTACATATTTATATGTATATATGGATTTATTTAAGTATGAAGGGATACATATTATTTTTACACATAATTTATCTTTTGTCATTTTAATAATTATACTTGTTTTACTCATATAATATTATTATATATTCATGGTATTAGTCAAGCAGGGCTTAAAATGTACATTTATATATTCACATTATAGTATGTATTATATATCTATATTAACAGTATTTAAAATAATGAACTGTGTTTCATGCCTCCAGTCAAACTGTTTATAATTACTCTTCTCTATCCAAAGTTTCACTGGAAGATATCACTCATAGTGATAAGATCACCCATCAGTGTAATATTTTCTTACAATTGTTTGTATTTATAATAAATTTACTATTGTAATCATGTGATGGGAACAATAAAGAGTATCTATTTATTTATCTAATGACATAGTCAAATATAAAAACAATTAAGTTGTAAATAGTACATAATTACTAGTGATAAGAAGAGAGACAGAAAAACTTTAAACAATTATCAGATATAGACTGTACCGAAGTCATCTGCATTGGTCTCTCTATCTTAATCATATATGTGCCACTAAACAGTTACAAATAGATAATTTTATTTGAAAAATGACATATTTATTTATTTATTAAACTTTAATACACCTAGAAAGTGTAAATGGCAGACTTAACACCATATGGTGTTATCTACCAGTCGACCCTAGACATAAATAACCGAAGGTGTAATTGACAATGCAACATAATGAACAACATTAAATTAAAACAGTAATTTACAAATAACATACATATTATAAGTTACATTATACCTACATACATATATATATATATATATATATATATATATATATAATTAATAATATCACATGTAAAATCTATTATATGACATTGAAATTATTGAGTACTAGCTTTTGCCTGCAGCTTCATCCATATGACCGACACATATTCTAGTATAACAGTGAACATTCATTAACTGAGATAAATAGTAACCAATGTTTATCTCCATCCCATATAGTATGAGTATACAAAGTTTCATAATAATTGGTTAAGCCATTAAGGCGCTAAGAGGTAACAAGTAAACTCTCTCACATTTATAATCTTAGTAAGGATGGAGGCAACAATTAATTCTCACATATGGGAATACATGAGGGGTGCAATATTTGATTCTAATATTCATTATTCTGTTCATATCTATGGGTGACAGTTACCATTTACTGTCAGTTTGTTTACTATGCTGAATTACATAAAAAAGAAAATTGTATTATTATACTCACCTCTAGTATCTAATAAGTCTTTGCTCAGTCTCTCATTTGCAAATTTTAATGATGCTATTTGGTCAAGTAAGTGACTCAACAAACGGCTACCAATCTGACATCTTGAGGTACTACTGGATATGGTCTCAGAATCAGACTCCACGTCACCATTTGCAGGTCTGGCTACATCTGGTAAACCTCGCACACATGGGTCACTATACCTTCTGGTATTACTTCCATCATCCTTATCATTGGTCTGCATGTCACTATTGGAGTTTGTATCACCAACTGATGTAACAATGGGTGGCAAACTCGCAAAATCTTGGCTATCGGTAAAATTCTTTGGTTGTAAATAATTGGTATTACTCAATGTACTGTTAGGGGTACAATGCACCTCTTCCGGTCTAACATCACTTCTCCGATGCATTCTCGGCCTTTGCATGGAAGTATTTTTGTTTACGCCTTGCCTATACCGATATTCGTGATTATAGAAAGGCTGTATAGGTGGACTATAGTACGTAGGCAGCGTTGGAAGTGACATAGGCTCAGCACAACCATAAATATTATACCTGCAAGGATCGTAGCCAGGCGCGAATTGAGTGCTATTCGGCCAATTTAAACTTGGATTTAGATATGATTCGTAAGCATCCATATTTGGTGTTTCCTGTACGTGTTGCATAGTCTTATCTAGCCATTTTGATAAATAGGATCCTTTACTACGTCGAGATTTCTTCCGCTTTCCCAAGGGGCCGTTGTTCGAATCGTTAACTTGTTTCGGTGTAGACGAAGCCATTGATACGCTGAATATAGAACTGAATAAATATAAAATGATATCGCACTCACATAAAATATTTTTAAACCTTTAGAAAAAACATTTATCTCATTACTTATCTATACACAATAGATCTCGGAATTATTAATTAATTGGATCGCTGACAAACACAATTTTTGAAGACGACCAAATTCTATAAACAATGACGTTCAACTGTCAAGTACGAATGAATAGTAGCGATGCGCAACTTTACTATTCCGACTACTAATTATTTGACTAAACAAATCGATTGGATTATCGATTGATATTCAAATCGATCGACTAGTAATTTTATATTGTGCTACTACTAACGTCAGGCGAATACTAATTTCACTCGACTGCTAATATTATTCAACTACGAATTTCATTCATTAGTAGTCATTGATTCACGAGTCGGAACAAGCCGATTATTGAAATGTTTTTCGCAATGAGTAAGTGTTGCCAATTTCAATTTAGTAAACATTACCAATTTTCGATAGTAGTACTTATATAAAAATTTATTTGTATGAAAATTTATTTGTAGATTATTAGGAAATAATTGTTATGTATATTAGAAAGGAGTGTAGGTGATTGCTGGCTAAACATCCAGGAATTGATTACCTACATCATGATTATCTCGCAGTTTGCGATAACCAAAAACTACGACATATTTGCTGTAAAATTTAATTTTAATTAAATTAGCAAGCGAACGAGATCTCTGTGAAGCAATTTAGAAACTAAAGTTACCACTTGATGAGAAATAACAGTGTTTGTTAGAGAAAACTAGCGATTAGGAAGTTTGGTGCTTATTAGGAAGCAAACTTGCTAACAATTGGCAGTTGTTTTCGAAGAGTTTTCTATTATACCCGGACACGCTATTAAGCATGATATATTACTTATGACGTTTAGGATACTCCTCGTAATTTGCAATTTTGCCATTTAGGAATACAGTATTATTTTCTTTTATGTCCAGTAAATCCACTGCTTTACGTTACAGTTTAAACCGAAACACTGTCTAAGTACAAGTTCTTATAGTAATAGTAATCGAAATTCTAGTAGTTTATAGGTGTTTAAAGATAATCTGCGTGCTTTATTCTCTAACTGACATGGGGGTAGTAATTTATAAAAATACTAGAGATTTTTATAGTACTTATAACGTAACATAGAATGTACATACCTACTGTTTAAAAACACCATGGCATACTTACAAGTAGATAAATTTTTTTTAAATCATCTTTCTACATTTATTCCAATTATTATTTTGTGTCGGCGTAATGTTTCTCTTCTATTCTTCTTTATTCACAGTCATTTCTGAATTCACTGCCATTCTGGTCAGATCATCTTTCTCACAGTCCGTCCATGTTAAGTTCAAATTCAAATCATCTTTATTTAAATTTAAATAGACTTGTTTACAAGCACTTTTAAATCGTAATTTTTTTAAATCTATTGCAGGGTTCGGAAAGTTGTTATCTGTTGAGAAGAGCCCGCAAGAAATTGAAGAGTTACTCTTTTAAATCTCAATTAACATATGTATGGTTAATTCTCTCTGTTAACTCTCTCTGTTATATATGAACCTACATGTCTTAAAACATGTCTCTCATTCCTAACCCTAGGGGATACCGGGGCAAGACGAAGCTCGGGGCAAGATGGGAAGTGTGCTTGTATGCGTGAGTGGTGTACACAACAAAGACTAAAACAGCGCTATTCGCGCGATGTTCAGTTGCTTCACACGAGTCCGTGGGGTGCGTGTATGTCACTACGTGTTTTGGCTGCCCGGCAAGAAAAAACGGATTTTTGGAGAATTTTTACGAAATCTTTCGCTTTGAACCGATGTACACCAAGGTATGTATTAGTGCTATTGTAATATATTACTGCATACTTGTTGTAGTAGTGTTAAATTAACGAGTTTTGATTGGATTTCTGCAAAATAGATTAGCATTGTTGTTACTTTTGTAAAATATGTCTGTTGGGGCAAAACGGTCGGGGCATAATGGGATAGTATCTCATTTTGCCCCATATGTAATTTATATAAGATGATGTTTTATATATTTAACAAACTGTGCCCGCGACTTTATTCGCATGGTTAATGGGTCATTTTTGCTATTCGTACCATACTTTTATATAGACTTAAAAAACACTGATATCTTCAAATGGATATTATTCATTTATTGTAGCAAAATTATTTCTAGTTGCAGTCAAAATGGTACGAAACTATAAAAGAAAGTCGGATCGAGGCACATGGGAAGAAGAAGAAGACAAGAGAAGGGCAGTTAGAGCTGTGCTATCAGAGACAATGGGATTTTTGCGAGCCTCGGCGACATATAACGTTCCTAAGTCGACCTCGGAGCGACGAGTGAGAAAAGCTCGATATGATGAAGATGTTGACACTGATTCAGGATGAAGAATGAGCTACTAGATGGTGCACCATCAGGATTTTGGGGAACCTGTAGTGACAATGATTGGATAACTTCACAAATATTTTATACGTGGTTCAAAAAGTTTGTAGAAACCATAAAACCCACTAAAGAAAAACCAGTTTTATTGCTACTAGACGGTCATTCATCACACACAAAAAATATTGATTTAATTGATTATGCAAGGGAACATCATATAATCTTGTTGTGCACACCACCCCATTGTACACATAAATTACGTTATAATATAATTACGTTGCCAGCCAGATTATTGTGTACTCATTATGCCCCATGGCATTTCCCATTTTGCCCCGATGATGGGGCAAGACGGGATATTTGACATGTGTCATATAATGCCTATTTGGCAAAAAAGTATGTGATTTTGCGCCATAAAACATTATAATTATTTAAATTGAAACTGTAATTGTTCCTTTTTTTGTAAGCGGATTATATTAAACCTTTTTATTTCTGCATTATGATATTTTTTCTCTTAAGTATCCCATCTTACCCCGGTCTCCCCTACATCATGTATCCGTATCAAGTCAGGCGGTTGCTCCTTAACTTTTCTATCACTGGCGGTACACTCATAGTTCGTCTAATATACTCATTTTTAATTTTGTCCATTCTTGTCACACCACATCCATCATAACATTGGCACCTCAGTCAAATGCAGTCACCTTTTATCCGTCACCTTTGCGGGCCAACGCTCCGATCTGTATAAGACAACAGCCCGGATTATGCTCTTGTAAGATTTTCCCTCAAGTTTAAGGGGAATTCGAGAGACTCGGGTGGTTGCCGTAACCTGTCGCATTATCATTCATCTTGACTTAATTTAGTGCTTTATTGTAGTACCGTCAGGAGGGGAAGAGATTGTTAGAAATGGGGCTAAAGTCCATTTACTAGCAATATACCATGTCAGGCCGACCTCCACGTGGTTATTCCTGGAAACCATCGTGGTTAATTCTAGTTGAATTCGTCAGGATGGGCTAACTGACCTGCTTTCATCCTCATCAGTCATCTATAACTGGTGCCCTGCCAGTGTATACCGATAGTGCAGGCAGGATTACCATACCATTATCACCTATTAAAAAAAAGTAGTACTGTCAAACTATCTGACTGCCGAAATCGCAGAACATATATTTAGTTTTAGTTCTGTTGATTTTCGAGCTAAAACTCTCTAGACTTTGTTGTTACTACCAGTGTACTCTGGACTTCAATTCCATTCCTACCAACAAGAATAATGTCTTCGGCGAACAGCATACACCAAGGAGACTTTTCTTGTAGATTCGAGGTCTAAGCATTCATTATCAATAAAAAGAGGTAAAGACTTGAGGCCTTGAAGCAGATCCCTGGTATAAACCCACGGCCACATTACACACACACACACATTACAAACTCGTCGGTGTTGCCAGCGGCCGACCGAACATTTGTACGAGATTGACTGTACATAGGCCGAATTAACTCTACATACTACATAGGTACACCTTTTCCTATCACAACCCACCCCAAAAGTTTTTGGCTTCGCTTATATCATTGACCCATATACTACTATAGAGCTGTGAAATCATTTGTAGTAAAAGCAATTAAAAATTGTTTTATACTATCAAATAACTTTCGATTCATTTGTCTATACGGACTGATACTAGGGTCCATATAGACAAATTAAATAGAGGGCGCTACTCGTGTTTTACATTCAATCTTCCATTCGGTAAAACTTTAGTTACATTACCTAGTATTGTATTTTAATAAAAAGGTAATCAATAAAACCATGATTGCTTGACAATTATTATAATATCTAAAATAGTAATATAAACATGTTTATTATTTTATGTACAATTTTTTATTGAATTTGATAATAATAATTTGTTTACTTAGATAGAATTTTTATATTGGTGTAATTATAATATATAAATTAGATAAAATTTTTTGAAATCCAATTTTATGTGACATTTATCTATGGCACAAGAATGGACAGTATAATAATAACAATAAGACAATTATATAGTAGATAAAATAATGAAAATTGGCAGTATGTTTGTTTCCCTACACAGTGTAAGCTTAAAAGATAAAAATAGGCACATACAGTAACATTAGTCTTAAGAATATTATAATTACGTCATAAAATGTAATGTATGTGATTTTGCGCCATAAAACATTATAATTATTTAAATTGAAACTGTAATTGTTCCTTTTTTTGTAAGCGGATTATATTAAACCTTTTTATTTCTGCATTATGATATTTTTTCTCTTAAGTATCCCATCTTACCCCGGTCTCCCCTACATCATGTATCCGTATCAGGTCAACTGTTGTAGTAATAATATTTTAAAATATTATTTTTATGAAATTGGCTTATTAAGAGTAAGTTTAGTGTACAATTAAATATTGATTTTACAAATTTTATAATAAATCTAATGGTCTGATAAATAAGAATCGGTAATAAGAAGTAAATGTTTAATATAGATTTTTCTAATATATATTTGTTTCTGAAGTAAATGGATTGTAGAGTAGATTAAAAAAAGCAACACAAGGTAACTTATTTTACGATTTATCTAATATAACCCTTTCACGTGTTTAGCTGTGTTTAGATTCAATAATGACAATCAAATGTACGGTATGCACCTCTATATAATTAAATTATATATTTTATAACTAGGTGTTCAAACATGCCGCAGGAATATACACGTATTTCGAACACAAAATACAACATCGGTACACACTAATATATACTTATAGACTGTAACAATCCCAACTTAATATTAAGGTTATTAACATACTAAAAAAATACGCTACATAAAATAATCTAACGAGATTAAAGAAGAAAGATTGCATTACATTGGATGTCATTTTACGATTCATTGTACTTGAAAACAGTGATAAAGGATATATTCTTATAAGTGCCCTCTAGTGATGTTTCGAAGCACTAGTTTATCGCGGTATTCTCATTATTAACCAGATAAAGAAGTCTCAACAATATTTAATAGAGGGCACTAATGTAATTGTTTTATAAAGAAATATTTTTGATTGTAAACAAGTGTACCTAGTAATCTATGGTTACAAACACATACAGACGGACAGATAAATAAGAGGCAAAGAAAGCAATATATGAAATTAAGACACCATATACGAGAGTACAAACAGTATCTTTTATCTTTAGCTCTATATACGGAACGATAATCGTTGCAATTCGTGTGGGATCTTAAAATCAACCGATTTTGTGTGGTTGAAAGAAAATATAAAGACAGATTGTTACTATTATCGTTTCGTTTGATGTAGGAGATAAATCTCTTCGTGTATATGGTGCTTTAGTTTATTATCTGTTTGTCACGAATGTGCTTATATATATTATAAAAAAAGCATCAGCCGATTTCTCTTTTGATTTTTGTGCAGCGGTTTAAGCGTACTTAAATAAGCCACCTATCAGAATTTCTTTGGGTATCTCTGTTCTTTTATGGATAAAAAATGAACTCTGTGGATTAAAATTAATATTATTGAGATTTACAAGTCGTAAGCAATGAGAACACCTATTTATTGTGCTAGAAGCTTGATTTAAATATTGTCAAACACAATTTTGAAATCACTGACGGAATGATATTGAAATTTTGCGTTAGTTTTCAAAATGTAATGTAATAAAAATCAATGGCTGAGATTTAAACTTAATGAAGTAACCCTCACTTCATCACATTTTAAGTATTCTCAGTGCGAATTATCAAATGTGAAATCGGCTGAATATTGCACAACTAGATCAAAATAATAGCTCTGGATATATCATAGAGGGCCATCTAGTATCTAATTTAATAGAGCTTGATGTATGGTTAATTGATGGACATATTAAATTATATTACATACCCATTAAATTGGAAATACATATACATACATAATAGATAAAAATATAAGCTGTAAACACTCAGGCTGTGGAATGAGCTCCCTTCTGAGGTTTTCACTAAAGACTATAGTGTAGGCTTCTTTAAAAAGGATGAGTTAAGTTTTATTCAGGGTTGACAATACGCACGTGACGGCCTTAGTATTTGCAGCCGTCAATAGGCTACAGTGACAATTTACCCTAAGACAGACAGTATGCTAATATCAATTCAAATTTTCTGTTTAGGGTCGTCTCAGAAGGATGGATGGCGAAATGATTAGTACAATAAATCACTCTTGACTAGCTTTCGAGTGAAAAACGACAGTTCGGCGGCTAGATAAGCCCTGCTCAGTACATTGGCATTGTTATTTAAGAAACAATGTGTATTATTTATGTTATTTGTTACAGTCAAGTTCCACTCAAGATCAATACGAAGTGTTTATTTGATAATATTTCAAAATCAAAATTAGACCGTGAACGTACCGTGATGTACATTACAGTGTGAATCTAGTCATAACTTCATGTAGTGGTTTTGATAGTTACCAATATGAAGTAGTTTCCACTTTCGATCTAGTTGTACTTTATGGTTTGACAAGGGTCCAAAAGTAAACTATTGGAAACAATATCGTGAAGTGAGGTTTGCTTATTTCTCTAAGTGAGTATATATTTTGTTCGTAAAATATAAGTTACATAACATAAACTATTCCCATCGTATATTAAAAATTAATTCATTATAACAAAATATTTCAAAGAATTATACTGCATCAAAATTTTACATATGCCAATTTTCTTTCACATTAATCGTTTTTATAAATCAAATGTTTTTAAAAATTAATATTGTATTACATTAGACAAATAATTATGATATATTTAATAAAATTATTTTATTTTTCTCCTATTTTTCATTTAATTTAGAAGACTTGATATAAATCGCAACATAGTCGTTCTGTCAAGTTTTATGATTTTATTATTAATATCATTTCATACAAGGCATTTTTATGAAATCCATTCAATAGTTATGGAACTAAGGTTAAGATTTTGTTATAATACTAACTTCAATTTTGTACAAAAGAGTAATCAAAATCGTTACAGAAATTACGAAGGATGACAACATTAAAAATTTTATTAAGGTAATGTTCTAAAAAATTAATTTTAAAAGAATATTATTTTAGATTAGAAATTTCCAAATCAGTTTGTAACTGACGGTTATACAATATTTTCTATTTTGAAGTCATATGAAAAAAAAGTAGATGAACTGATAATCTACACCTATTGAAGTAGGATGAAAATTGTGTGTTTATATAGTACACTATTAAATTAGATATATGTGTATATAAGGTTATTTATATTATTTCTATTAAAAAACTTGTCATAAAGTAAAAATGTTGTCATGGAACCACTGTACCATTTCTACTCTGCAAACAATTTTCAACTTTAGAGTGGTGTAGATCACCTACTTTTATTTTTATGAGCATGCAATGTCTTTGTCAAGTATTGGCGAAAACATTGCAGACTCATTTTGATCATTGCACCGATTTTGATCATCATTTTTGCAATAAGATTGAGTGTACTCCCGTGTTGGTCCCACGTTTTTGTCCTCATGAGTCGATTTTAACAAAATCTTAAAATACAGAGTGAAATCTAAATCATTAACATCATTTTAAAGGAATGTTCTAACAGTAAAATTGAACTTTTTTCTAGAGAAACAGTTCTCGAAAAACTATTAATAAATCGAGTTTCCCATAAACACAGTGTGTTTAGTCCACCACATCCCCTAGCAAACTATCGAAAAAAATCAAATTGTAATAATAAAATCCAAAAAACTTTTAAATGTCCGTATTTTCAATGTAAAATTGCAGAATTAATTTAACATACTTTATTTTAAGTATAAGCAACATCATGTATGTTTTCATTTAAAATTTAAAACCACTTATAAATATGTCTGAACATTTACCTTATAACTATTAATACCTTAATACTAAAATATATCTCTATATAATATTGTATCTATAATATAATTCTACCAACGTATTGTGTACAAAAACCTGCTAACACCATAATTCATTGTTAAATAGTAATATACCGTCTCTAAGTCACGTCGATGGTTTATTGCCCTCTGAAATTATATAGTAGCCAATATAAATTGAACTAGAATCGACGAGAGAAGTAAAATTAAAACAACAACAACAGAAGTATTTGGTAAAAGGAAAACTAGCGGCAGAATCGAACTATAAAATGAAGTAAATCTGCTTATACAACTCTTTGAATGTTAGACTAACTATAACGAAAGCTGTTTAGTCTGCAAATTCCATAAACAGTATATAGACCGAAAAGAAAAACCAAACTTTAATTATATACTGGAATGGATTTTAGAAAAATATTAATAAATTAGCAAAGGCAATAATAAATAAGGTTTTTGAGAAATGATACGAAAACTTACAATGTTTTATAAGGAAAATCTTTACCAAGGTGGATCAATTTCCCATAATAAAATTTTGTAGTCTCACGTAGACCAATAGCAGCGAAATTAAATTAAATAATACTAATCCAGAAACTAGTGAAATGGGCTTCACGAAATAAGACCTAAGTCAGTAAAATTTGAACATTAATGTGATCATAATTATAGATTTTCAAATATATAATTTAATGATTGTACACGTTAGTTGTTATTGAATAATATGAAATGATAAACAGATGATGTTTTCGTAGTGGCACTGCGAAGCCCCAAAGCCACGGCCAACTATTTAGAGTTTTAACGTATGTTGTTATTATAGCATGCGATACGCACAACAGATAAATTGTAGCTTCTTCACGTTACAAACAAGTTAAATGGAAACAGGCTACAGTGTAATAACAGCGTGGGCACTCAGCGTGGAATCCCTTTGACATTTATTTTTAGCATGTAAAGAATTCCGTTCTTTCATTGCATTTGAGTGATTTCTGCTAGAAGCTTACGTTTTAATTAAACAATACTTCAATACCCTGCCTCAGAATCTGTACAGATGTCAATAAAATTGGAAATGAATACAAAACAGTAAAATACGTTATCGGTATTTTAAAAGATTTCATAATTGTTAAATTACATTAAATTTTGGTTTTAAATTACATCGAATCTTCCAAAGAAATCACTCAAATTACTAGAAGCACTAAGCTAATTTAACGTCGTCAAATGCCGAGAGTAGATCGTTTGCGCCTTGCAATAATTCTGACTCGGTCCAGAAATCCGATGTGAGGGATACGTTGTTGTCCAGCAGTAAATCGCCCGTCGGTAGCGGGAAACTCGGACTCGCCTGCATCTTATTTGATAGGTACGGGTCACTGCCTTGTATCACTGTAGCCGGGGACAACAGTCTATTATTAGGGCTGTACATTTGATTGTACTTACCCACAGGCGACATAGACTGAGGAGTGGAATAAGGACTCAGAACTCTTTGAGCTGGACTCATTGCTGGGCTGTAATTGGGTGTATTTGGACTTGACGGTAGGGAATACATAGGACTCCCTATATTGAGAGTTAAGGGTGACATGACATTATTATTTATGTTCATGTTCATTATGTTGGTAATGGGGCTATTGGTGCTATTGGTTACTTGTTTGTTTGGTACTGTTTGCATGTTAATAACGGGCACCGGTATATTACTTCTGTCTAGGGGTTTCTGTGTGGAGAATTTCTGGTGATTGATTATCACTTGGTAGTCGGAACGGGCGTTGTTATGCGCTGGTAATTGCTGTGGTACGTCCTGTAAACAGATAATGTATCAATTAATATTTTTAACGAAATAGTCTAATTTAATGTTAACTTTCACACTTAAAATATAGCGTGTAATGTTTTTTTTATACCATGAAGGCGACAAACAAACATAGCCCGTCTGATAGTAATTGTAACGGTCATTGTAGCCTATGGACTCTTGCAGCACTAAGGGTGTCATGTGTAATATGGATAATATGTAATACTGGTAAAAAGATGCACGTTGTTAAAAAATCATACCTAGTCAGGTTAGGAGCGAGTATTAGCTTTACTGTGGATAATGGAATTTGTTTAGAAATTGAATATGCCATGTACATTTACATAATTTATACAAGAGCAAAATCGTTATACAAAAGTTCTAGAATCTTCTGCATCATAATAGAAATTATTATGCAGTGAGAATAAAGGCTTATATGTCACACTTGGATCGGATCTTATGTACTGGTTTTCCAATTTGGTTGGTTTTTTGCTGTGGCCGAATCTTTAGCGTTATAATCCTACATCCTAAAATAACTTGATGAATTTTTCGAAAATACTGTTAGATTTTGTTATTCATAAGAATGATAAAATTTTCGAGAATTATTATTATTAAATACAGATTACTGGGATCTCGAATCGACTAGAATGAACTCGGGAAAGACGTTGATAATATCCTGTAAGTTTTATTACGATATCAACCATGTCAGTTAAAAATATATCATTATCTAAATTAAAACTTTAACTCTTGTAAATAATTATTATCGCGGAATATTATTTTATACGTTTCATTTGTTCAAACAGTTGTTGTTCACAAACACACTGTATAATTAACATTTCTTGCTTTAGAAAAATAAAGTGTATGAGTAATTTTTGCCACTACCAAATGTAATGTTGTAATGTACATATATAAACATAATTTATTTGGATTTTTGGCATAGCGTGTAGGTACTTTAATTGGTACTGCGACATCCAATAGAAGGAGGTTCTTAATTTGCTTGTATTTTATGTGACCAATTTACACGATTCTATCATCAATTCTAAATCGAATAAATTTAGTGTTAATTCGCGTTCTTCAATTATTTTCAGTCAAATGAGTGTACGAAATATTTTGTAATTAGTGGGCATCTTTTACAACGTCAAAACTCGTTGTTTTTTTTTGCAAAGTATAAAACGTACTTGTAATAATTTGTCTTAATTGTGGGAATACTAGACACTACGACAACAGTGATACATAACTATGGTGGCGATGAATGTAAAAAAAAAAATTAAATTTATCCGTTGAATTTTTAGCGACCTCATCACGTCATTAGAATCTGACTTTATATTTTTATTTGCAACTACGAAATCTATTACAATAACTTCCACGACCGACCGACGTATCAGTAAGTAATTACTGATGCTAGATACTATTCTGTGAATAAAAATATTTTATCAGTACCTATCAGTCTAGAATCTAGATCACTCTTATACGACATGTTAAGCATAGACTAAACTAATAAAACTTATGAAAATACCTATGTCTCGTAACTTCTGTTAAAAGGGCTTATGAATAAAAAATATTTTCAAACATATACATTTCATATAGGTTATTATGAGTAATATCAGATTTCGGAGTTAGGTCTCAATGCGTGATACGAAATGCCTGAGTAAACTATGTGTATTACTATTTCTTTTTATTACAATACTAAGAGAATAATAGAATTTAATGGTCAACTGCTACTGATATTATAATATATTAAAGTGATAGACATTTTTATAAGATAATGGGCAACTATAGGGGGAAAGAGATTGTTAATAATTGGGTCTAACAGCACCATTATTAGTAATATACCCTAATAGGTCAACCTACACGCCCAGTCCTCCGCCCTTCTCTGGAAACCATCATGCTTATTTCTAAAACAATTCATCACGCTGGACTAATTGATCTGCCTTTTGAACCTCACCAATTACCCCACACTAGTGCCCTGTCAACGTATGTATAGCGATACCAGAAGGAGACTTTGTACAAAAGTCGATTGCTTGGGTACCTCTATCCCATTCGTGTTTCAACCGTGAAGCAGCTGTGTTTCAGTTTGAAGGGTGGGATATGGCGTGAATTTACTGGGTACAGAAGAATAACATACGAGTCCTCAGGAATGGCAACGCATGGGGGGTATCATGGGCGAAACAGTATACTCTGTTATGTCCATGGTACTGCTCATGTCTATAGGCGACGGTTACCACTTTCCATCAGGTGGGCCGTCAGCTTGTTTGCCATTCTAAGTTGTATAAAAAAAAAGCTCTGGTAAGGTAACACTTCCATTATCATCTATTAAAAAAGATGTCGACCTGACAAGGGTATATTGCTAGCAATGAGATTGGTAGTTTGCATTACTAACAGACTCTTCCCTCCCAGCTATAAGCAGTTGAATTCAGTGACATTACGTCACATGTTCCGAAACAACTTGAAATAGCAAACAACAATAAAACTACTAGATGGGAAGTGCTAAGCGTTGTCTATAGATATGAGTAGCACCATAGGCATCGCAATACGCCGTGACGACCATGGTACATTATGCATTGTTATTTCTGAGGATTGATGTCTTCACCACCCTTCAAACTGAAATATAGCCATCTAAACATAGCTACTACGTAATAGTTCCAACAATGCTACGCCGATTTCGATTATTGTTTTTTTGCAATCGACAATTGACAGACATTAATTTATTATAATTTGTCTCAAGCGTACATTACGTTGGTTCATATTTAGTAGGTAAATTTTGTAATTACTTAGTTATTACAGAGTATGTAATTCATCTGAGGTTATTACCTAGTAACTAAATTATATAGGTACCTATATAAACTTATCATCGGCGGTAGGTATCATCAAAGGCCCCGTGTGACTATTGATTGTGTTTAGGTTATCAACCCTTGTATAGATCTAGTCATAATTTATTTCTAACCGTTTTCAAAAAGGAGTTCTCAATTCGACTGTATTTGTATTGTCGACTATAACAATTTCTATTTTAGGTATTCAGTAGTGGCTAGTAAAACTTATACTAGTTTTTAACCGCGACTTTGTCTGCGTGATCGAGATAAATTTATCCCGGTCAATCAGACCGGAATAAATAGTACCCTACCTATAGTTTAGTTTGTACGCGAATTGTTTTAAGAACTTTTCTACTTTCTTTTCCAACATCCCAATCCACTATTTCCATGTGAGATTACATACTAAAATTAAAGGACCACTTTATACCGAGCGTGCAACCTTGGTAATTGGTACTTCCGTGTTACACTGATTACTTGTAAGGGGCCCTTAACGTTCTGACATTAGCAGGACTTATTGACGATTCCCCTCGAGGGGCCGACCTATTCTCGTAAATCAAGGTTGTCCTAATGAGAGATAACGGTATCTATTGTAGATAAGTAGTCATGTGATTAATTGTACGGTCAGCATCAAATTCGATGAAGACATTGAGATTTTCAAACCCCTATCGTTGCTAACATATACATTATGGTATTGTATTTGTTTCATCAATTATGAGTTAATATTTATCTAATTCTGGCAATCTGCTGTTCTTATTTCATTTCTCTTTGAGATATCTTTGTCACAAACGTGGCGTGACAAAAGTCCCAAGTTTCCAAAAGTCATTGCCGAAATATTTCGTGGCTTGGCTATATTTCAAATAGGTATTCAGTGTTACACCTAGCTGTAAAACGAGTCGAATTACCTGATTCGTCAAAATAGTTATTGTTGCTACGTGGTTACAAAGAACCATACGTACAAACACGAGTAAATAAATAGACCTAAAAATAAAGCTCTGTCTAGTTCCAAATTTTAACCATCTCCATTCCATATAGTATGTATATACCAAATTTCATAATAATTGTTTAAAACGTTATGGCGCTATTAGATAACGAACAAACAAACAAATTCACTTTCATGTTTATAATATTAGCAATATAATTATAATATATAATAATTGTAATGTAGTGTCAAGTTGCTGCATCACCAAGGTAATCGATTAGGAACTTATGATTCAGCAGTGGGGTAATAAAGCTATCAATTACTATAACTTAAAATCCCACTGATGGGCATGGAAATCTTATAACCCTTCTTTCTCAGCCACAAATGTTTTAAATTTGAAAATTTGTATAAAAGTTTGGACGTTACTCAATCACTTAAATGTTTAGCAGAATTGAACGAATTGTAATAAAATGATAGATCATATTCCTGATACATAGAATAAGGCACTTTACGTTCTTCATGGACTAAATACCCGTTTCCTGCTTATTGTATAGTTTTAATATATATTGAGGTTCTCCGTCTAAATTATAAGTAACCATTTAAATTGTAACGTTTTGATAAGTGGCCCTGATAATATAATAAACAAAGGTCGATCCTATTTATTTCTATTGTTAATTGAATGTTTCACTGAATAATACCTATTGTATCAAATGTTAGAAACATTTCTATATAATTTGGTCAATGAAATTATTGTCTTTATGTATTAATTACCTGTTGTGTAAAATAATTTCAAAATTTGCTTTGCAAAAAACACTTCAATCATGATAAAATTAATTTAGGAACAATACGGGAATAAATACTAATAATTGCAAAAAGAAATTATCAAAATCGGCTTAAAGCTAAAGATACAATAAAAAATATACATACATGCCCATTTTGAAATAATATTTTTTTATTTTTAAATAATTAGATGTCGTAAAGTCGTAAAAACGGACCTTTCAGCTCAGTTTGACAGTTTAAGGTTGCCGGATTTTTTTACACTGTCGTGTAGTATATCACTCCTTCAATTAAGACAAATCTACTGGCATACCGTTTATCAGAAGCAGACAAACTACTTATTACAATTTGTGCCAAAGATTCGTTCATACGTACATACACTAAAACATTACCCTCAATTATTGTAAGTGGGATAAAAAGAAAATTTTTCTTAGCCGATTTTAAATATATTCTCACTCTATTTTTATTAAAATATGTTTAATATAGAATAGTATTAGCATTACTTTGTATTAAATAATAAATTTATATTCAATACTCGTATAGTTCTTACTAGTACCAATAAAATACTTATTTCATAATTAAAGTTATTCAACTTCTAATATTTTTTAACTTAGACAAAATCATAACATTTTTATATAGAAATTTAAGTAATATTCATCACCACCATAGTTCACTTAAATATGACCAATTTATTGAAAGAATACCCAAATATCCACATTTAAAGCTAATACTCGGATAGGAAATTAGGATGGAAGGAAGAAAAATAATGCGTGCACCTTTTTACCACTTCTTGTATTTGTTTCTTTTAATTTACCATTCGAATCTTTGTTCATTTCATTTCAATGTTTATTTCATGAAGAAAAACATTTAATTACATATCATTCATTTACACCATACATAACAAGATCGATGTTTGTATATCTACATATTTTACAAGTTCTGAAGTTCCGAATTTAAAAATGACAACGGAGAAGCATATTATTATAATATAATTCTAAATTTCACCGCAGGAAATCCCCACTGACATTTAAAACTAATACAGATTTCACTGAAAAGGTCATTAAAATGTATGTAACATATAAAACTTTTATAGTCAACTTTGTTCTAAGTTGTACTTTGCATCATTTAGCACTGGGAACAATTATAAACATTTAACATATCCATTTTCTCGGAACTATAAACACTACGATATAAATTTTGAATGAATGTAAATAACGAGCATCACAAAAAATACTATAAGATATCCATTGTAAAGTTGATATCTACTTCGATATAAAAAATGCCAATAATGTTTACTAAAAGCGAATTAAATTAAACAAATAAATAGCGTAAACCTATACCGATAGGTACATAATAAACCTACAAATATTGACTCGGTTCGAACTACGAACATAAGACTGAGTGCGCGGCGAGATGCCCACAATGAGAGCACGGTAACTAAGTAACCTAGGAACAATTCATTGATCACATTACCAATACGATATTTAACTTAACACGACGTTTAACGTAAGTATTAGAATAAACAACTACAGGGACGATTGCTTTTAATATTACTTAAAAATATAAATCTAAAATGATAGTGAATGCGCCCATATTACAGGGCAATAGCACGAGATTGTCCGTGGAAGAATTTTTTACAACACCACCACCGTTCGTGAATGGTACGTGCATAAATCTTCACAGAATTTATCTGGCTCATCACGACATATGTTTAATACGTCATTAGCATATTGGAGTCCATGACATCGTCACAGTATTCCCATACAACCGCATAAATGTAACAAACATATCACAACTTTCGACGGCACGGTACTTTTAATTCGTATTAAGTCCAACCAGATTTATAGTCTGAGATTGAAAAATGGAAAAATATTTAGGCATTTATCGATTGAACACTGGACGTGCATTATCACAGTTTTTTGTCTTTAGACGAAGTTCACGCCTCAGGCTTTAGCTTTTTGACGCGGCCGACACTGCACCACACAAATGTAGCCAGCGTCGACATCGCAGCCGCTCACCAGGAGGTTCATGAGGACACTCGAGGACTGTTTGCTTGGAGACGACGTTTGTTGCGGTGAAGGACTGCGCTTCGCACGTTTTGCCTTATGTACCTCTTCTTGTTTCATTACTCTCTTAACCCCAGTGTCCCATGGTGCGATACTCTTACTTGGAATTATACCTAAAATAAAAGCAACTTGATACAATCATTTCATAAAAAAACTTGAATAAACAACTGAACTGTAATTGTTTGTCAATTATACCTTGGTCCGAGTAAATATTAGAAATGAGATCCTGTGGTGGCGGGCCCGTATTCGGTGCCGCGAGTAAGCGCTGTAACGCTGGCGCTGGCGAGGTTGAATATGACTCTGAGGGTTGTGGTCTTGCTAAACTGACATTGTCAGGTAAAGCACCCCACATAACTGCTGGTTCCAGTACAGGAAGTTCATCGCTCAATGGAATAAAAGGCGAATTTGTGTCATCGATATCGTTGTCTGACCTTGCACTGTCAAAGGTGTCTAACGATAAATCTGTTAGTAAGGATGACTGCTCGCATGATGATTCAGTTTCCTAAAATATAAATAAAGTAATTAGAGACCATTTTGTATATAAAGATATATCAAATATGGCAGAATGCAATGTACAGCATCTATCTTTTACATACCTGCGGTTCAGGCGAAGATAACATCAAGGAATCCGTAGTTAAAGAATCTGGCGACGTATTAGTAAGATCGTCACCCAACAAACTGCAGTAATTATCATTAAGTATAAATTCATCGAAAAAGAAAGAATTGTCTTCGAGAGGGATGCAGGTATCACCGGCCGTTGGAGCCAAATGAGTCAGATCTTCCGGCTCGTCTTTAAGCACTAAAAATAAAGTTTCTTTTAAATAGATGTTAGGTAACTTACAATAAAAAACAAAGTAAGCAAACCTTAAATTTTAAAGATCAAAGCAAACAAATACTTTAAGGTACCACTCACTTGTAAGTCCTTCGTCTGATGAAAACATGAGAAAGCCTTTGTTCATTTCCTTCTTTCTCGGCGCAAATATGAGCTCTGTGACCGGTATGGGGCGTTCCTCTTCCGGAATCGGAGCAGGTACTATTGTACCGTTTGCAACTTCAATGGGCGGACAAATAGCAGCGGCCCGAGTAGCTGTGTTCTGAATGACAACAGGTTTCAAGTCCGCGTACTGCACTTGGTGTGCAGCAAACACCTCATCTTTGGACTCGATACCGCTGTGAAAATAATGTAATAGATAGTAAAACTACGTTGCCATAAGGCAACTTATGGTCTATCGACTGTGATACATACATAATGTGTACCGACTTACAATGACAATTGCATGATTATTAGTCTACAGAGAATCGAACATATGTAGTGTTAATTGAAATGTGTTACCTTGCGAAGTATCTAAGTGTAAATATAGTACATTATATATCATATATAGTACCTATGTTTATAAAGCAAGCTCAGTAAGGTACACGTATAATAGAATCTAATCAGTTAATAATACCCAAGGCCGCTTACAGATGAGCACTAACTTGTAGTACGTAATGTAGGTATAGACTTTTGTATGTGAAAAAAGGTTGTAAGACGGAATTAATAGATAAATACTTAATAACATAATTAAATTAACAAAAATCTAAAATTACTACTAATTACGTAGAGTATCTCTTATTGAAAAAATTAAAATAAGAATGAAATTTCTATATTATTACAAACTTTCATTCAACACAGGTGATGTTGTAAAATTGATACATTATTTGCAGTTATTTTCCCTTAAGTAGTTTTTATGGCCTAATAATTACATAAAAATAAGCAATAGCTCATTTAGAGGACAGAAATGAATGGAATTTTTTATACTGATATCATGAATTTCAAGCGACTGCCGAAAAAGGTCTTATAGTGCTACGTGCATTTAGAATGCATAGAATGTTAAACCATATACATTGCCTTTTAAATATAGAATATAATTATAGTTAATCGCATTTGAAAATTCTCTATTTTTATTGCGATCTAAAATGTTTTTTATTGCATTTGCATTTCACAGTAAGTCTTCAATGTATAGGACCGTTCCTTTCTTTGATTGTCACAAATTTATTATTAGAGAACGATTACATTAATACTTGTCCACACAAATTTTAAATAATAAGTTTATATAAAGTATATTATTTAATAATAGGTCAAATTACGTATTTCTAAAAAAATATAATTTACTTATATTGAGTAAAATAAGATTATAACAATTCTAATTATAAATAGACGTCATTTTGTTATGACATACTTATAGGAGTTAAATATTAAAAACGACTAAAAAACTGACAACAATAATGTGCTATATACTAAAACTATTACAAAAGTCGGTAAAGATGATAACACAAGTTATCGAGTTCAAGATAATTTTATTGTTGCGGAGGAAAACAATATAAGAGCAGTAGATAGTACAGAATGAACATTTAATAACAACCGATGTTTTATCAATATAAACATGTACACGATAAAACTAAACAGAATACTGAAATGTGAAATATATTTATGACGAAGAAAATAATTACTTGAGAGTGTACACTTCTAGAGATAAATTTCATTTGAAGTGACACTAGGCAGTAGGATTGAGTACAAATAATTCTCTCTAATTTATAAAAAGAAAAATCAAACGAGATAATTTAGGAATTGACCTTATGGGACAAAGATAAACTTGTTGATTGTAGTTCAAATTTGTCTCTGATAAACAAAATCCAGGCAGTTCGGGCCGACTTTGTATATTGCTGTAAATTATACTCAGCAAATATTATTTATTAATTAATTATTGTATTGTAATTAATAGTATAAGATTGAGTTGATAACATCTATTAATATTATAAATATTTGTATACTACAATATAGAACTATAGAAAGAAACAGACCTCTGGCTCACTACGATCATTACGATACAGACACAAAAACGAAAGTGTTTTATTTGGATGCTGCATTTACGCGCCGTTTTGTAAGGGAATCTGTTGAGAGAGAAAGGCATATAGGTAACGATCGTGATAGAAAGAGACATAAGGAAGATAGTAAGGACGGCCTTGTTAGCGACCTTGTACGATCTGACCCTCCCTGTATCCACCATGCCGTCGGGGCCATTCACCAGAATCGTAGTGAAATTACTTGCGCGCGCAGTCAAAACACGCGTCGGGTTCCGTATCGATTGCAGGCATAACATTGTGATTAGAGCCTATCTCAACCAAAGTAAGCTGGTAAAAAAACTTTTATGTAACTGCACTTTAGCTTGTTTTTTTTTTTGTTTGACAGTTTGACATCGAGGAAAAAGTCACAAGAATATTTTAACATAAAATTATACATTCGAAGAAATTTTTAATTGAAAAATATAACAAAAATGTATCTTTATAATAACAAGTCAAGAGATGTAACGTGAAGGGGGTTGTACTAGAGAAAAAAATCAATTAAACTGAGATAGTGTTTCTAAAGTATAAGAACATCTGGATATAAAGAGGCGGAACAGCTGTTCGGCAGTGACCTTGGCCGTGATACTGTTCAGCGAGCCACGCAATTCAACAATTACATCTGCCACGGCCGAGGACGAATTGACGTCAACTCATATGTTAACTCGTAGTTACAAATCGAATGTTCAACAATTAACATTTAATTTACTCTGTGAACATTCCAAAATTCGATTCTTGGATAGTTGATCAAATATCTGAAATTTGATATGAACACAACTTTGTGGAAATAAATTATAAAATATAAAGGGAAAACAAAAATAAATAAAGATAATGCAACATAGAATGATACGCTGCAATAATACAATTTGTTGATTTGTCGATACGAAAGTAGATTAAGTTTGTATTGAAATCATAATTTTGTAAACATAGAGATAACGATACAATATTGTACAAGTGAGAATTAACAAATAAGAATCAATTACTGTGTTTAAAGCCAGAAGAAAAATTATCACCTGACAAATATTTGGCGAGATTGAAGGCCAAATTAAAATAATAAAAACGTTAAAAAATGTTATTTTTAAATGGCTTCAAAAAAAGGAAAAGATCCGACGGTATTTTCTATGTGTTACGTTATGGGTATCTTTGCCAATGCGGAATTTATTTTAATGATTCTTTTCCCATCGACACGAATCGGCCTTCACTAAAATGTATTTTTTCTTTCGTGGAATAAAATGTTTAACTGCGAACCTAATTTGTTAACGTTATTTTGTATTATGTCAAAACATACTTCCAAATAGATCAAAATTGGAGTTAATTTTGAAATGGTTTGATTTTACTATAGAACGTGTTCACTATTGATAACTTGGAAATGAAAAAAATCTTTTTTAAGTTACTTTTTTTATTGATTTTGTGTCACTATTGAAATTGGTTAAATTAGCTTTAACGACATTGAAATTAAACTGAATCGATGCGATGCCAATGGCGAGTGTACCGAGAAGCTGCGCAGGAGTCAAGGCCGCCGTGATGCGGTTATGTAATTGATGGATGAGGACAGTGGGGGGCGGAGTTCGTTAATTTTAGCTATGGTCTTAGCAAACACTCGATCACACGATGGGCATAACGACACACGTTACGAAGCTCCGAAGATGCAACATGCTTGTCGTGTAGGAGATTCCTCGCAGTAATAAGACTAAAAAAACTTCTAAGTTTTATATTTATATTAAATTTGTTTCTTTATATGTTAGTAGTTATTTTAAATCGATTTTTAAAATTCTTCAATTAAGCTAAAGTTATTTTCTCAAATAATCTAAGCTTCGGATCACAAATATGACTACAATTTACACTTTTTAATCAAGAAATTATTCCGAAAACGGAAGACAACGAGTTGCTAAGCCATGGTAAACAACTAGTAGGTATTACAGAGTTGTTTTTGACAACGAATTGTTCAACACGACATATAAACTGTAAAATTGAGACCACTGCATCAGACTTAGTATTGATAAATTCAAATTGAAGGTAGACGGTTTTGATTATTATCAATTGAAATCTAAATTGAATTTCAAATGAGAACGCTTTTCAGTTTCGGATACGCACAGATTTGTTTTTAACCGAAGGTCGCGAGTCATTGTTTATTTATGACGATATTTTTATGGCACTTTCCGTACCATCAACACGATCGTAAGAATGAAATCTACGTGCAATTTGATCACTTGCAAGTCGGCACACACTTGTTCACTTAGCACAATCACTGATCCACCGGTGCTTACCATGATGCGAGAAAGTGTAGATGCGAGTAATGTTGTCAAACAAATCAAGAGATTCGCCGGTATGTGTTGTTTGTTACACTCAAAACAGCTGATCGCGTGTTAGATGCGGGGGCGGTGTGTGGAGGACGCTCGGTGTGTTCGCTTGGTACGATAGTCGTCGCGCGAATGATACAAACCGCCTCGCCGGCGGGACAGCGGCGGCGCACTCGTGGTCGTGACGTAGAACACATACACATGAGATACGCTGAATTACACTCGATGACAATTTTTTTGAGAACTGCCGTACATTCGGCAGCCACGCGACAAGATAAGTAAGTTCACGATTCACTGAAAGTTAATCGCATTCAGATCATGGGCAAGCTAGCGATGTACCTATTATTTCACGCAATATGTGCATGTAACATTTGAAGATTTATTACGAGTGATTAAGTGGTAAAAGATAAGCCCATACTTATGTTACTAACACCTAACTAAATTTACAATACTTTATAATGTTATAATTGTTTCTATGCACACTGTTAATAAGTAAGCTATTCAGAGAGAGCTAGGTAGCTAAAATGAAGCAGGACTGAAGTCTATTTTGGTCTTCTACTTCTGAACAGGTCAACGAACTGTTTGGAGACAGATTCTTCTCGTTGTATTAAAATAGTAATATTTAAAATTAAAGCTGCAGTTCTATGTTATTTGAATAAAAAAGGAAATGTGGACAATTTTTAAAATTATTTAAAAAATAGTTGCCTGATGTTAATGTACTTTTGGAGAGGTCGAATTAATGAACTTACTAGGTAAATCAAACGAAAAGGCGATAATGCCAAATTTCATTACGATTCGCATGTTACAAGTAAAGAGTGGGAATTGGGCACATACCGTATTATTAAAACGTCATACCTATATCAACTGTTAAATATCCCATGTTTACTATTCTCAGAGTGGATATATAATAACATAGTCTCGTTTGATATTGTATCTATTTTTGTAAATATAAATATTTTACTTAATAAATTTAGAACCTACTAATACCAC